TCACAACTCTCTTGGTCCTCAGCTTTTCAAGAGGTTAGTTGTGCAAGGATCTAGAGTCATATGGATTCACAGTCGCCATTTCATCCTTTCCCATATCACCCCCAAACCCAATTTTGTCAGCCATGACACTACTGCCAACTAAAGAAACATATCAAGCTTTTAAATAATGAAAGTTAGTTTTATTCAGAAGTCTTACTGAGGACGATAGCCTGGGAGCAGCCATTTAGAGAAGTTGTTTCAAACTAGTCCAAAAAGTGTTTCAGCTTACTGTTTATATACAGTTTGTGAGGGTTTAGTATGTGCAAAATCCTATCAATCCTTTTCAGAAGTTACATTGATGAGGAATCACAGCAAAGTTTGAGTGTGAGAGTACAATTTGTTATAGATCACAGAGGTATAATCACTAACCCTGCCAGACATTATCATACGTGTAGGAAAAGGAAATAATTAGTCATTTATTTTCTAAGGAATTTAGTGAGTCAGGCAAGAGACATGGTGGGGGCCGTGGTCTCCATCCTGTTTTGTCCTCAAATCATCTTAGAGCTGCACATCGTAACAGAGTCAGGGGCTTTGTGAAACGATGCTGGCAAGCGGAAATGAGCAAACATGGCTTCTTACATACGCTTGTTACTTTGTCTCACAATAGCCTGCTCAGACCTCCTTTCAAGATAGAACCTTCTGTGAGGAATGCAGTGAGTTGATAACCTCCTGTTGATGCAACCATAAGACCTGCCTCGGCCGGGCGCGGTGGCTCACGCCTGTAATCCCAGCACTTTGGGAGGCCGAGGCGGGCGGATCACAAGGTCAGGAGATCGAGACCACGGTGAAACCCCGTCTCTACTAAAAATACGAAAAATTAGCCGGGCGCGGTGGCGGGCGCCTGTAGTCCCAGCTACTCAGGAGGCTGAGGCAGGAGAATGGCGTGAACCCGGGAGGCGGAGCTTGCAGTGAGCCGAGATCGCGCCACTGCACTCCAGCCTGGGGGACAGAGCGAGACTCCGTCTCAAAAAAAAAAAAAAAAAAAAAAAGACCTGCCTCACTGCGGCCACACCTGGGCTCATACCATAGTCCAGGGCTGGGCCACATGGAACACTAAACTCTGGCCATTTCTGCCTGGTGTGGGACTCCTGCAGTGGGCACTCTTATTCCGGGCATTCCCAATGGCCTCACTGAGACTTTCTTAGAGCTGCAGTGCAGACTGAAGAACTTCCTGCCCAGTCCTCCTTCCCACTCCCTCTCCCTTCACAGGTGTCCCACCCGTGTCACAGGCAGAGGCTCTTCCCCCAGTCAGACTCATCCTTCATCCTGTCATCCCATCCTTCGTCCCACCCCAAATTTCTTGCTCTTCTAATTCCTTCTTGGGATATGCTTCTTCCAGGACTAGGATGGACACAAATCTCCATTGAAAGTTCTGCAGCAGACACTACAGGGGCCTCATTGCCAAACCCAAAAGCCTTTTGCAGATCTTACTTCCCTTCACTTCTCCAGGTCATTTCTTCCCTGTGCCTTCAGTGCCCCTGCTGTCTCTTGAGTCCTTTTGCTCACCCCAACTGTCCTCTTCGGACTCTGGGTGCTTCTCCCATGGCTCACTCCTTAAGTCCTTGGGCTTTTTGCTCAGTGGTCACACAATACCTTTGGTTGATTTATTCAATCCCTGATAAACTTATAATTTTCAAATTATCATGTCTCATGCAAATCTCTTTCTTGAACTTGAAATTCCTTTATACAAACATCTGCTCCTCTATTTGGACTTTCCACAGCTATCTCAAACTTGAAATGTTTAATACGTATGTCTTAGTCAATTCAGGCTGCTGTAACACACAGCACCAGAGTCGGCATGGCTTAAACAGACACTTGTTTCCCACAGTTCTGTAGGCTGGGAAGTCCAAGATCAAGGTTCTGGAAGGATTCAGGCTGTGGTGAGGGCTCTTTTCTTGGCTTGCAGATAGCCACCTTCTCACAGTGTCCTCACATGGCCTTTCCTTGGTGTGAGCTCGTGAAGAGATACCTTTCTTCCTTTTCTTATAAAGTCACTAATCCTATCATGAAGGCCCCGCCCTAATGAGTTCATCTCACCCTAATTACCTTCCAAAGGCCTTAACTTCAAATACCGTCATATGTGAATTTGGGGTAAACACACGCATCCATTTTGCTCAGATACATGACTGAATCTCATAATCTCTACCTCTTATTTCCCCAGACTTTCCTGCATTTCTTACCCTTTGATGCCATAACCATCACTCCTGTCATTCAACCTTCCTTTGTCCTTACAGCTTCTGCTATCACAAGACCCATGGATTATATTTTTCAAGTAATCTTTAAACCTCTTTCTTTCTCTCCTCATGTTGTGGGTTGAATTATGTCCCCCACAAATTCATACGTTGAAATCCTGAACTCAAATACCTCACAATGTGCCCTTATTTGGAGATATGTTCTTTACAGAGGTAAGTTAAAACCAGGTTATTATGGTGGGTTTCAATCCAGTATGACTATGTTTTTAGAAAAGGGGGAAACTTGGACACAGAGACAGACACACGTAGAGGGAAGAAGACGTAAGGAGATCCAGGGAGAAGACAGCCATCTATAAGCCAGGAAGAGAGGCCTGGAACAGAGCCTACCCTAACAGCCCATGGAAGAAACCAATTCTGCTGACATATTGATTTTAGACTTCCTAGCTCCAGAACTGTCAGACAATACATTTCTGTGGTTTAAGCCACTTGGTCTGTGGCACTTTGGCATAGAAACCTTATCCAAAAGAGACACCATCCTTGTTTCTAGTGTAATTGGTCAGTCTCTGTTGTTAATGGAGTTGCTGCAACAACCTCTGTAGTGGGCAGAGTAATGGGCCCCCAAAGATGCAAGTTCTAACCCCCAGCATCTGTGATTATGATACCTTACACGACTGTGCAGTTGTGATGAAGTATCTTAAGATGGGGGGATTATTCTAGATCAACTGGGTGGGCTGAATGTAATCACATGGGTCCATGTAACAGGCAGACAGGAGGGAGGTTCAGAGGCAGAGAAAGAAATGCAATGGTAGAAGTAGAGGGGTGTGTGTGTATGTGTGTGTGTGTGTGTGTGTGTGTTTATGAATGAGAGAGAGAGAGAGAGATCTGAAGATGCTCTGCTGCTGGCTTTGAAAATGGAAGAAGAGGCCACAAGTCAAAGAATGTAGGTGGGCTCTAGGAGATAGGAAAGATGAGAGACAAATTCTCCTGCAGAGGCCCCAGAAGAAACACAGCCCTATCAACACCTTGACTTGAGAACCTCTGACCCCTAGATCTGAATGACAATAAATTTGTGTCACTTTAAGTCACTAAGTTTGTGGCAATTCATGACAGCAGCCATAGCAAACTAATGTAGTCACTAAAGTGCTCGCCTAAGCCTTTAATTTTTCCATCCTTTAACTTTATCATCCCCATGATTAGTTTTTCTCAACCACTCATAAGACCATATGACTGTAGCTATATGGATTTACTCATCATTCACCTTCTGATACACACTTCCAGAGATAGCCCAGGCAATTGTGTGATCTCTATTTGATTGCAATTTTTTAAAAAAAATTTTTTTTGAGACAGAGTGTTGCTCTGTCACCCAGGCTGGAGTGCAATGGTGTGATCTCAGCTCACTGCAACCTCTGCCTCCCAGGTTCAAGTGATTCTCCTGCCTCAGCCTCCTGAGTAGTGGGATTACAGGCACCTGCCAGCACACCCGGCTAATTTTTGTATTTTTAGTAGAGACAGGGTTTCACCTGTTGGCTGGGCTGGTCTCGAGCTCCTGATCTCGTGATCCACCCACCTTGGCCTCTCAAAGTGCTGGGATTGCAGGCATGAGCCACGGTGTCCAGCCCTTGATAGTAAACTTTTTTACACCAAAAACCTTAGACTTTTTTTTGTCATAAAAAAGGCTTAGCTTAGCAAATTTCCTTTCACATAGAGGAAATTGGAAATTTTATATGGCACCTGTAAAGTGTGTTATATGGCATATGTAAGGCCTGTTATATGGCATATGTGAAGTGTGCTATATGGTACGTGTGAAGTATTTTTAGATGGCACATATAAAGCCTGTTACATGGCACATGTAAAGCATGTTATATGGCACATGTAAGGTGTTTAGATAATATACATAAAGTGTGTTACATGGCACATGTGAAGTATGTCCTATGGCACATTAAAGCTCTTCGTTTCCCTCTTCTACTTCCTTAGAATGGAATCACATTACATCTATTAGATTCCATAAGTCACACACACATATATATCCATATATCAAATTAACCATATGCAAGCTATGTGCGTGTATTTGCGGAACTAGGTAGAAAATGTGATATTCTTTCCACTCAAGAGGAGGATATGTTTTCTGATAATATCACATATTGGGTTTACTATTCAGGGAGCTATTTTAGAAAGACATTTTATGAAAGTAAACACCCCCTTTAAGCCCTTTATACAAAGAGCAAATCACGCAAAAGAAAAAACTGTTGTGCTTATGTAATCAATTGAAAATAGCAAGAAATGAAAAGAGGTGATTGGCGAAACAAAACGCTTTTCCAATCTTGGCTTGATCAAGCCAGAGTATCATTACTAATGTTGAACGGTTATTTACCCAATGTTAGCACGAAACGAGGTTAGGAGTTTATTTCTGAATTTTAAGCATACAGAAAGAACATTTGATTTCATTTTTGCTGCAAACTAGCAAAACTGAGATGGTTTTGCTGGTTTAAAGCACCTTCTACTTCTATTGCGCATCAAAGTGAGTGGTCAGTGGGTGTATCAGTCGGGGTCTTTGAATCCAAACCAGCAGGGCACCTGCTTTTGTAAATAAAGTCTTATTGGAACATGGCCACACTCATTTATTTACATATTGTCTGTGGCTGTTTTTGTGGTACGACGGCAGTTGAGTAATTGTAGCAAAGACCATATGGCAGGCAGAACCTAAAATAGTTACTCCCTGGCCCTCTACAGAAAACATTCGCTGACCTTGTTCCAGAAGGAAAGAGAAGGCACACTCCAGAGGGTTTAATAAAATTATTCAGTGATGGAACTATTTACAGAGGTGTGGACGGGTTTACGGGAACCGTGAAGGACTGGGGTACACTGGGACTAATAGCAGGGAGTGATAGCAGGGAGCAATTTCCTCTTCCAGGCCTTCCAAGCTGGGAGGAAGCTGTGTACCGGAACTAGGCAGAGCTGCAGGCATGAAAGAAGGGCCCGGGAGGGAAGAGAAGAATATACAACGCAGCCTCGGCTCAGGCTGCTGCAACAAAAAGCCACAGACTGGGTGACTTCAACAACAGAAATTTACTTGTTCATATTTCCGGGGCTGGAAGTCCAAAATCAAGGTCCAGCAGGGCTCAGCCTCTGGGGAGCGTTCTCTTCCTGGCTTGCAGACAGTTGCTTTGTCCTTACATGACCTCTCCTCTGAGCTGTGTGTGGTGAGGCAGGGAGGGAGGAAGGAAGAGAGAGAGTGAGGCAGAAAGAGAAACAGGGAGAAGGATAGAGACAGATCTCGTCCTCCTCTCCTAGAGCCAGCAATCTCGTAGCATTAGGGACCCGCCCTTATAACCTCATTTAACCTAAGTTACTTCCTGACTCCAAGTACAGTCGTACTGGGGGTGACAGCTTGAACATATAAGTTTTGAGGGGACACATATTTTTAGTCCATAACACCTCTTTACCCCTTATCTCCTGAGGGCGTTTTCCCATCTCATGGCCCAACCCAGCAGGAAGCCAGAGGGTAGGGAGCCAAATGACGCCGTCTGCATAGAGCAGCCTCTGGCCGCAGAGTGGTGAAGAGAAAGCTGTACTATGGATGGGAGGTGGGGAAGGGCAGGGAGGCAAACAGAGAGCAATCAAGACAAGGGATAAGTGCAGAAAATGGAGCTGAAGAGAAAGAAAAAAAAGTTTCTCATAGAACTGTCCATGAGGAAAATGAGAATATGCCTTGTTTTAAAACCTCAAAGGACTGATTCACACTCTTATTTAATGGAAATACATCAAGAGACAGCAAGCTTAACTTTCTCGCAAACACATACATCTAAAAATAGCCTTTTGGAATCTAATTTACTGGTAAGCAAAGGATTGCAGCATTTGACTTACAATTAAGATGTCATCTCCCAGTTAATCATAGGTCCATGGTTTCAACAGCTTAAATTCTCAACTTCCCAGAACATTTACTAAGCGCTTATAAAAAGCATGGTGCTAAGAGCTCTGCAGGATAGAAGGGTTTATAGAAGATGTTGTGAGACTGGTACCCAAATGCCTTCATCAGGATCAGTATGGAGCAGACCCTCAGGACTGCAGAAGCAGGATCAATTCCTTTTGACACGGCATGACGCAAAAGGCAGCATTTAAGGTAGTTTTGTTTTTCACTAAGGGAACAAAGTCCTTTGATCCTTAAGGGGGTTTTGAGCTCAGCCTCGGTGTGGTTACCATCTATATCCACAAGATGGCAGGCACGACCTGGGAAGAACCTGCAGTAGCCACCTCTGGATTTCAAGGTCTCCAGGCTCAGCCAGCTGGTGAGGTCTCCTGAGTCTCGAGAGGTTAGTGGGCAACCGCTTAGAAGCTGGAATTCAGCTAGTAGCTTTTCCTATGTGGGAAAAAGCATCAGATCAGAGGACAATAAAGTAGCTAGGGGAAGTCATGAGGACCTGAGAAAGGAGGTAAGCAAATATAAGCAAAATCTGGATAGAGGAAGTAGGGTCATTTTAATAGAGTTGTTGCATGGGGAAAAAATCCCAGGGACAGGCAGAAGATCGGAGGAGCCAGAACGCCAGGTTGGAAAGTGAAAAGCTAAGAGATAAACCAGGCAGCAGAATGGAGGAAGTAGGGAAGAGGAGAAGGGCATGTCAGGACAGTCAGAGGAGGTCTGAGCTTACAGTGCTATTCCTGCCCTCCTGTCCACATGCCTTGGTAATGTCAAGGAGGGTTGACTGCTAGGATGGATTGTGACTTACTGGATCTTGGAGGAGGAGCAGGAAGTAGAAGACACAGAAAAAGCCAAATCCACAGCTAATTCAGAGAATGGCAAACACTTCATTTTGTAAAAATTTAGATTCAAGAGCCGCATGCACAGGTTTGTATTATACTGCATAATGCTGGGGTTTGGACTTCTAGAGAACCCATCACGCAAACAGTGAACATAGTGCCCAGTAGGTAGTTTTTCATCCATTTCCCTTCCTCTGTGTCCCCATTTTTGGAATCCCCAGTGTCTATTTTTCCATCTTTATGTTCATGTGTACCCATTGTTTAGCTCCCACTTGTAAGTGAGAACATGTGATATTTGATTTTCTGTTTCTGTGTTAATTCACTTAGGATAATGCCTCCAGCTGCACCCACGTTGCTACAAAGGACATGATTTCCTTCTTTTTGTGGATACATAGTATTCCATGGTGTATATGGAATTTTCTTTATCCAACTCACCATTGATGATCACTTAGGTTGATTCCATGACTTTACTTTTGTGAACAGTGTAAACATAAACATAAGAGTGTAGATGTCTTTTTGACAGAACCATTTATCTTCCTTTAGTAGATACCCAGTAGTGAGATTCCTGGGTTGAATGATAGTTCTGCTTTAGTTTAGTTTTAGTTTAGTTTATGGAGATTTTGAGAAATCTCCTTACTGTTTGCATAGAGGTTGTACTAATTCACATTCCCACCAACAGTGTGTAAGAGTTCCCTCTACCACTGCTTTTCTCTGAAGCACAGATATAACTATCTCACTCCAAATATTTCACTTTTTTTTTTATCTTTAAGATCCAAGGTCTTGGTCTGTCACTCAGGGTGGAATGCAGTGTGAAATTATAGCTCACTACACTGCAACATTGATCTCCTGGGCTTAAGTGATTTTCCTGCCTCAGCCTCTTTAGTAGCTGGGACTACAGGCATACACTACCTTGACGAGGTATTTTTAAAATTATTTTTAAAAAATTTTAAATAATTTTAAAAATAATTTTAAACTGTATTGCCCAGGTTGGTCTTCAACTTCTGGTCTCAAGTGATTTTCCTGCTTTAGCTTCTGAAAGTGCTGGGATTTCAGGTGTGAGCCATCATGCTCAGCCTCAAATGTTTTATTTTATAATCAGCCTCCAGGAATGTATACATGGCCCTGGCTTACTTCAGGGTTTCAATGTAGTTTAGAGGTGTTTGCATCATTAGAATCCCCCAGACATCTTAGACATCTACTTGCCCTCAGTACAAATGGAGCCCTGCCTCAATCCAGAGTGTGACCCACCCTGCCAGTCTTCTTCTGACCACTTTAAAGAATGTACCAAAACAAATGCACTGGGAAGTGTCAAAGAAACACAACTGGACATTAGTTAAATTGATGAAAAAAGATTGTATTCAGTAACTACTGACAGCATTAGTTTGTTTCCTAATCAGAAGTACACTCATGTTTCTCTATTAAATGATTACCAGTGTTGATAAGGGGTGGGTTGGGCTAGTCAGAGTCATTTCTAAAATTATAAAAAGCCACAGGGATATAGTTTTGGAAGTACATCGAGAATTTGTATGACATTAAATCTCTAAGGAATCTTTGAAGTTCTCTAGTATAGTCTAATCCTTTCTGAATAGCGTTGGCTTCCCCAAGAGCACGTATCTATTAGGGGCAGAATGGGATGTGGTGGAAGTCTGGTTTTGATAGCCACCTTGACACAATGCCCATGGTCCATAAAGAGCGCTGTTCTTTGGTAATGAACACACGGAAGAACACAGGTATTCTGACATGTTGGCCAGGGCGATCTGCCACTTCATACTGTGGGTAGGAGTTTGAAATATCCACTGCTGAACATTTTGAGGTTTTAAAATTAGACGGAAACCGAGTTTTCTATCAGCAGAATATATTCTTCCAGAAACTGAGCTTCACATTCTTGCTTCCAAGTCTCTGCTCCATCCTTTTTGTCACCACTGCTTCTCTTTGAGGTTTTCTTTCTTTCTTTCTTTTTTGGCTCTTGAGACATCTGCCACACTCTTACCACTCTGTTAGCCTCTGACTGCTCCCTTCAGTCCACTTTCCGCTGGGCCATGGCCTGCAATTCATTCCGACCTTCCTCTTCTCTGAGGCTTTTCACATCTCACTTGATATTCAATGCCGTAGATTATATTTGCATTTTTTTCTCCTCTTAACATAAGGGATCCTTTCCTTCAGATCCAATTAGTGGAAGAGTATAGCTATATCATAACAAGTCTGTTATAAGACCAAGAAAATAGAAATAACTAGAAACACTTATATGGAGATGCAGTTTTGGATTAGCCCAAGGGAGCTACATTTTACCAAAGCAGTGTCTGCTCGTAACCTTTGTAGTGGTTGCAAAATTCCTACTTTCTTCTGCTTTGACCTTCTTGGTGCTAAACTTTCCTTTTGGGATACATGTAGTAGAGAGGGAAATTAGGGCAGAATGATCATCTTGCATAATGTCACAAAGGAAGAGTATGAATAGCAACAACGCTCAGTATTATAAAACTGTCATCGGTCATTTATTTTTATAATCCTAATTAATTTCCATGGGGAATTTTTTATGTTATCTAAAAAGAAAAGCAAAGGTTAAACCTTGGGAAAGTATGCTAATAATTTAGCTACAGGAAAGCTGAGAAGGAAGCACACCTAAGACTGTTAAAACTCTAGGCTCAGGATCCACTGATTCTAATTTTGTGATAATTCCCACAGGATTTGATTGAATTGTTTTTACATCAGCAATTTGCTTAAGCAAACTCGCTCGTGGTTGACAAAGGCTCAGGGTTGTTTACTAGCAGGGTCATTTATATACATAATTGACAAGCACTAATCATAAAGGAGTATATGTCTGTTTGTTGTAGGAGATTTTCTAAAGGTCTCTGCCAGCAGCCTTTTGCTAGTTTAGTTCCAGTTGCTGTCTGTATTTGAGAATAGTGGCTGCTTTTCCTTGAAGATATTTTGTTTATTTATTATTTCATCAAATAAACATTTGACTACTTACAAGTAAATTTATTAATTTAGAGTTTTCTAATTAGCAAAATATTATAAAATTTACTGAGTTTAGGTGAATGTAAGTCACTAGGTTAATTCGCTGTAGGGTATTAAAAATAACGTTACCTGGGTTTTTGTACTGAGTGCACAACTTATTAGTTGGGTGACTGTGGGCAAGTCACCTAAGTAGTCTCTTCTTTAGTTTGCTTAGTTGTAAAATGAGGACATTATCTACCTGCTTTCCATCTTAGCATTTTGGCAAGGATAAAAAGAAATAATTTAGCCTTGCATAGTAGCTCATGCCTATAATCCCAGCACGTTTGGTTGAGGTGGGAGGATTTTCTGAACCCAGGAGTTTGAGGCCAGCCTGCACAACATAGCAAGATCCCATCTTGAAAGAAAGAAAGAAAGAAAGAAAGAAAGAAAGAAAGAAAGAGAAGAGGAAGGAAGGAAGGAGGGAGGGAGGGAGGGAAGGAAGGAAGGAAGGAGGGAAAGAAAGAAAAAGGAAGGAAGGAAGGAGGCTAAAAACTTACACAGGCATGGTGACATGTGCCTATAGTCACAGCTACTTGGGAGACTGAGGTGGGAGGATTACTGGAGCCCAGGAGTTTGAGGTTGTGGTGAGCCATGATGGTCCCACTGCACTCCAGCCTGGGGGACAGAGCAAAACCCTGTCTCAAAAAGAAATAATTTTTGTAAAAATGTTTTGCTGAATTGTAAAATGTTACATAATCGTGAATACATTGACATTGGCCCTTGGCAGCTAAATTGAATGATATAATGGTGTATTTCTCATCTAACTTCTATTATTTTCAGCTTATTTGTAGGACATTAAGGAATTGAAACTGTCAGCAAAATTATCCATTTGCATTTCCAAAATAGCACCTGGAAAAATCTCTTATGCCTAGGTTGACCATAGTGAGGCACTGAGGCTCCTGGAACTGTCTTGCTGGAGACATCACAGCTGGTGGGAGGTCAAGTGAAATAGTCTTCCTGGCCTGCTCTGAGTTCTACTAGACCAGGAAGTGTATATCTTGTGTCCTGGGTGTGTCTAGTCTTCAATAACTAGAAATTATTGCTACTTACTGACCATTGTTATTGTTTTCAGCTGAATAATTTTTTAAAAATGTACATAGTCATGTGTCCCTTAACAAAGAAGACAAATTCTGAGAAATGCATCACTAGATGATTTTGTTGTGTGAACACTGTAGGGTGCACTTACAGAAACTTAGATGGCAAAGCCTACTGCACACCTAGGCTAGGTGGTGTAGCCTGTTGTCCCTGGGTTGCAAACCTGTACAGCATTTGACAGTACTGAATACTGTAGGCAATTGGAGCACAATGGTAAGTATTTATGTGTTTAAACATATTTAATCAAAGACAGGGAATGGTAAAAATATGGTATTCTAATCTTATGGGACCACTGTTGTATATGTCATCTCTCATTGACTAAGACATCATTATTTAGTGCATGACTGTATTTGTATTTGTTGTGTGCTATGAACTATGGGACCAAAATAATTTTAAAAGTAGAATAGACATCCATTACGTCCCTGTTGAGAGGTAGGATTGATGTCTTGAATGTAGACTGTTCCTGCTTTTCTGAAAGAAATTGATACTTGTGGCTACA